AAGAGTGGCACGGAGGGGCGCCAATCCAAAAGAGAAGGAAATGTTGATCCACTGGTCGCCCCCCACCGGACCTTCACTGACTAAATGCTCATTTCGTTGGTAATTATGCTTTTTACTGACGAAATTGTTATTTATGTGCTTCAAAAGCGCATAATCTTATCTATTGCAATTTTCTTATCATAACAAGGGTCACTACATCCTCATAGATATATCTTTGTCTTAAAGGGCCAACTTCTTATGCTCCTGTGGTCGATGCGGCAATAGACATTGTGGAGAAAAGTGGTGGCCAATACCATGTATTGGTTATTATTGCAGATGGCCAGGTTTAAACTGAAAAGATTTCCTCTACAAAATATATGTTTCTCACATATATGACCTTGTTAAGCATGATTTTGTTTCTTCTTTTGCGAAAGGTTACAAGGAGTGTAAACACGCGTGAGAACGAATTGAGTCCGCAAGAGAAGGAAACAATCAGAGCGATTGTTGATGCAAGGTTGTCCCTCGAGACATTTTCTTGGCCTTATAGTCTTATCTCATCTCTTCATATTTCTGACAGTGAATGTTCATACTAAGTACAGCTTTTGTTTGCACTCATTGCTGCAAAGATCTTGGGCAATAAGTCTTTTGGTTTAAGCTATCACAATAAATATGACAATTTGAAAAATTTTGCGTAACCAGTTCATATCCGCTCTCCATTATTCTTGTCGGAGTTGGGGACGGACCTTGGGAAGACATGAGGAATTTCGATGATAAGATCCCTGCACGTGATTTCGATAACTTTCAGGTATGGCATTAAGGTCTGAAAGTTTAAACTTTGATTATGTATGCATTCAGTTTACATTGTCACACACAAGATATGTTAATTTTCTTACTCCTTGTTCTGTTTCTTTCATGTAGTTTGTTAACTTTACTGACATTATGACTAAGAGTACAAGTTCTTCAGACAAAGAAACAGCTTTCGCTCTAGCTGCTCTTATGGAAGTCCCAATCCAATATAAAGCAGCAGTTGAGTTTGGTATTCTTGGGTAGGATTCGAAACTGAAGTGCTTAACGCCATAAAATTTTTCTTTTTCCTCCCTTGCTGATTAGTTGTAGAGAGTTCTTCAAGCATAAAAGGAGACATTGGCTTCTTCAGAAACACCACTTGACTGAAATTTGTCTTTGCATATTTTTCTGATTCATGTCCATTCTATCGGACAAAAAGACGGACAACAGGAAAGGCGAAGAAGGTTGTTGCGCGCCCTCCACCAGCTCCTTATTCACGTCCTTCACTGCCACGCCAACTGAGCAACTCTCCAGCAGACGCAGCAGATGAACGAAGTCAGATGGTATGTGAACAATCTAAGCTAGCATACTTAACTACTGCTGTAATATAGACTTTGTGCTCTAATTTCTTGGCTGTTGGTAGATAAAGAGAAGTGAAAGAGAGTGAATAAATTCAATCTGACGTTTACAAGGCATATAGGTTTTCCCACTGTTTTAATATTTCTGATATGTTTGTTTTAATCCAATTTGAAATACAGGTATGCCCAATTTGCCTGACTAATGGGAAAGACTTGGCTTTTGATTGCGGACACATGGTGAGATCCTTACAACAATTTACTACTAAGTATTATCTGCTGTTTCTATGCAAAACTGCAGCCAGATCCATACTCTCAAATTTTAATAGCTATATGTTGTTGCAGATATTTTAAAAATTTTTGGTGAAAATATATATTTCAATTAATTATAAGTAGCATAACGTCAGACTTCTTTTTTCACATGGATTTATTCCCCCCATTTTGTGCATCGTATAACTAGTTAAACTTCTTAAACAATTATTCTTTAGTAACTGTGCTAGCCTTTGATTCAACAACTTATGAAATTAGGCATTAAAATAGTTCTAATAGTATTGAAAAGGCAGTGATTTTTCTTCTGTTGCTTAACTTCTCTGCCTTAAGTGAAAAAGAAGTTGACAACAATCGTTTTATTGCAGACGTGTAGAGACTGTGGGGCAAGAGTGTCCGTATGTCCCATTTGCCGCAAACCGATCAACAGCCGTCTAAGGGTGTTTACCGGTTGACGACAACAAGGCATTGTTTCATTCCTCAGTTTGCAAACTGTGTTCTTTGATCTTCCTTGCTTTCCCACTCAAACGCACATTCCTGTTTCTGTAACTCATATGCTTATGTGTGTATGCATAAAGTACATGTACAGGCATATATTTATGCACGGTATAAAGCTCTATCTGTCATTTATAATGTCAAATGTCAGTTGTAATTCTAATATCCTAAATCCAGCATGAGCAGTCTCGTTGTGTTATCGTTTTTTTCATTTCATATGCTTTGCTTGTCCAATAGAAATAATGAGAAACATGAAGTTTCTGGAGCTGTACGGGAAAACAACTAAGGGCTTGTTCTTTTGAGTAAAAAACTCAAAAAAAGACGACTCGAATTACAACTTTATTCGAGTTTATATTCTTTTAAATTTGAACTCGAGTTTAAACTCGAGTTCAAATTTGAGTTTGGGACTAAAACTCGAGTTCAAGTTTCCTCTTCAACTCGAGTTTAGAAACTCGAACTCAAATTAATAAACAATGTTTTTTCTATTCTTAAAAATGCTATAACTTTTTCGTTTTAATTCTGATTGAGATGATTTTTTTTTTCTATGTGTTGATAACGAAAAAATGAATAAAACCACACCCATATACCCTATTAAAATTTTTCATCAGTATTGAGTTTTTATTAAAATACTATCTAAATACAAATTCAAGTTTTGACTCACTCAAACACAAACTCAAAAAAATTCTTATCTCAAACCATAACTCAAATGTACATAACCAAACACAAACTCAAATTATAACTTCAACTCAAATTATAACTCAAATTCAACTCAAGAATTATACTCAAGTTAAACTCTAAAAGAACAAGCCCTAATGTTTTCGAAATGGCCTCTTTTTACCCATATTCAGACTGATGAAAAAGGTTTCAGCCTTAATTTAACAATACATCTATAGAAAATTTAATAAACCAAGGTGTTTATTTTTTATCTTCAGTTTTATTAACATAAGTACACATACATAGGGCTATACAAAAGATCAAACCCGTCTCAGAAACTAACACACCGAACCCATGAAGTCGATGTAGCATTGGAAAACTGACATTGGTGGGTTGAAACCAAAATCGACCAATGCGACTGCCGTCGTCGCCAGGTTCTCCATAGTCTCGGGCTTGTGAAGAAGCCTAGTCATTGCCCCCAACGACCAAAACCCTTGTGTCATCCTCTGTCCCCTATTTTCTAGTTTCTCAGCAAGTCTGACTCTTAAAATCAATAGATCTGAAGACTGATGGGTCGGGTCGCATTAGTTTCACCTCACAAGGCGATTCAGTTGCATTTTCAATAACAATGAAAACTCGAGGAGCTCTGTTTAAGATGGGATTTAACTGGAAACCACCCAAACCCGAACTATTTACACTCCCAACATAGATGAATAGGCGAAGCAGCCAATAGTAGTCTGTTCTCGCCTATCAATAATAGGTTGCTTCCAAGCTCAAACCATTTGACTTCAATTACTATTATGACAGAGATCAAAGTAAGCTTGCATAGAATATAACACAGATGTCGGATGGCTTGCCGGATCTCGATGGATTAAGATGTCATATGACATCCAAAACTACTCGGACATGGAACAAACTGTTAAATCACTAATTCTCCCAAAAGCTTAAACTATCAGACGGTGGGCCAACAACTGTTTTTCATACTAACACGATCAATCTCTGAAAATAAACGGCAGAAAGAATAGCTTAAACAATCTCCAAAATTTGTTCACAATAATTTTCGAAAGGACTAGCTTGAATGCCTTTTATATTTACGTAACTCAGAGAAATTTTTTAAAGACGACTTATATGCAAACTATTCCTACCAGTACTACCCGTTTATGAAGGCAAGATCATATCAAAATCATGTAAACATCAAATAGCATGTAAATTTCATAGAATAGGACGAAGATCCTACTTTTCATGGCAACGTGTTGTTTTGAGGCATTTTTTATGTCGCACCGACGAAGACTACTTTCTCAGAACAATTCTGTGAAAAACTGTCTGGGAAGCACTTCCAAACAACCCCGAACTACAAAGTCAATTCATGAACATGACAGAAAAGACGACATCCTCAACTATTGCTCATAAATCGTACTATCCTACGTTCAGTGCTTTCCTCCTCCATAGTAGGATTTAGGAATTAAAAAAAAAAAAAAAAAACACTACATCCTCGACGAATGATTATAAAATAAATAAAAATGGAACAAATGTCAAGGTAAGTGAAAACACTTTCCAAAAGCTTGAATGAAATCGTATTCAAACCCAACATCAACATGTTTTAGCCTAACCTCAAATGGAAAATCATTCAAACAAAGATATTTATAGCATCAAAATAACAGGGGAAGGGGAAAGGAAAGAAACACTGCTAATTTTTATAACGAGGTTTTTCTTCTGACATAGCAGAAATTCGTATTAAACATAGATATGAAAACAAAATGAATAGCTACAACCCACAAAATTGTAGTACTTGGCTTGACATGATCAGAGTGAACAAGTAACCAAACCAACACTAAATCCAAATCCACATCTAACATCGAATTCTGATATTATGATGATTTCTTTCCTATATATAGCTACTTACTTCTTGGGCAATTGCTTGTTTTCATCCTCCTTGTTGTTGTTGTTGTTGTTGTTGTCAGGTTTAGGAATTGGCTGGATTCTGACATAGGGTTTTCTGGTCAAGGTCTCTCCTCTCAGCGCCGCAACATAACGATCATTTGTGTCCTCTTTCCTCTGCAGCTCTCCCAGAAACTCCGCCAATCTCTCCCGATTCACTTGCCCCATCATCTGATTTTATGATTTTGGATTTTGATTTTGTATGTGAGATTAGGAAGGAAAAATAAAAAAGAATTATACAAACACAACAATCATAATACGATTATCATATGCATAAATTATAATAGAAGAAATTAATGCAATTGATGATGATGAAATCAAAATCAAAATCAAAAATTAAAAAAAAATGAAATGTTTGCGTACGAGAGTTTCGGGACGGGCTTTCTGGCGGAGTTGGGCCTCAAGGTGTTCGCTGCGGGAGGAGGTGAACTGCATGACGCAGTAGCCGATTACGCCTGGAACGACGCCGCACACGGTGGCGAACGCCAAGAAGAATGGCTTTGAGTCCCTGCTCTTCCTCACTATCCACCTCCATGTCCCGCTCTTCTCCCACAGTATCGACATCTCTCTCTCTCCTCTCTCACTCTCCTCTCTCTCTCTAGAATTCCACAGAATTTTTTCCAAGAGACTCCTTTATTGAGTATGAGGGTCCAGATTCTCCTTGGGCCTCAATTTCTTAGGCCCACTTATTCCTCTATTGGCCCATCTTTTTTACATTTTACATCGAAAAAACAGAATACCACTCGGTACAAAAAATTATTAATTCACTCCACTAAAAAATAGATAATTGTCGTTCGTTAGTTTTGAGTCGTTAAACCTACTATTTCTTGTAGTGACCCATTAAATTTTAAAACGTACTTATTGTACGTTCTGAATTACGTACTTTAAAAAAAAAATCTAACCGACCCATTACATTGTATAGATTTTCCCTTCATTTTCTCTCTCTCAATGGTCTCTAGCCAACTAATATTTTTAGATGGAAAGACATTTCATAAACCCCGAATATCATACTCAATCAAATCATATTAATATTTTCGTTCAAAAAATTAATAAAATCAAGATGGAAGGAAAAAAATTAGAGATATATCATAGTTTGGGAGCACTATAAGTACATTTAAAGTTCAAGAGATATGTTGACACACGTGACAAAAGAGAGAGAATTTATAAGTATTTATGTTAAAAGAGTTAATGGAATAGCAAAGTTGGAGACATGTCATAGTTCGGAGGGCACACCATATATGTTTTAAAGTTCAGAGGGCATGTTGACACAAGTGATAAAATTCATGGAATGTATAAAATTTGTCCTATTTATATATTTTACTTAGGGATTAAATTTAATTAAACTTTTAACATAGGGATTATTTCTAAAGAGATAAGATAATTCAGTTTCCTTTGATGACACAAAGTTAACAATATCCATTCAAATTTTAGCACGGGACTATTTATGAGATACTTTTTGAGTGTAGGGATTATTTTTGAGACAAAATTGATTACAGAGATTAATTCTAGAGAGAGAAAAAAGATAAGGGACTGTTTATGAATTTATTCCTCTAAAATTTAACAGGATATTAACAAAGATACTAAATTTAAGACATTTGAAGAGTTAAAAGATTCATGAATTTATTCCTTCAAAATTTAACGGAATAGTAACAGAGAGACTACATTTAAGACATTTAAAAAGTTAAAAATTTAAATTCGTATATAATTATTTTCAATACAGGGACTAATTGTAAAAAAGGAAAAAAATTTAAAGACTTCTGATGGATTTAACTCTTATCATATTAATCGGAGCTAAATTTTTGTCATGAAAGTTACCTTTCTTTTGTAGTGATTATATTATTAGTATCAGAAAATAGGAGAATGAGGCAAATAAAAGAAGTATGTTACAAAATTACTAGGAATTTTTGTTTTTTAAAAATGAACCGACCCAAAAAAGGAGGAAAGGAAAGAGGAAAATCAACAAGACTAAAAAAGAAAAAAAATTAGAGTTATGTAAATTAAAAAAGTGCTAGTGATAGTTCAATTATTTGCATTACCAACCTTAGCTAATTTTGTTGGTTTTTGGCTCTATTATTGTGTTTTTATTGTGTCTTTCTATTATTTTTGTACGTTTATGCTAATTAGGAATAAAAGGTCTTCAAAAGAGCTTAAAGGAGTGCAAATAGAGTTAAATCAGCATTTTAAAGCACTACAACGGGGCTAAAAGAACTCGCTGCAGTGAATTGATCAGTTTGAGCAACTTCAAAACCTGCTGTAGTGCCTTTCTGAGGTGCTGCAGCTCTTCTACGATTCCTGAAAAGCCGCTGCAGCGGGAAAAACACCCGTTGCAGTGGGTTTGTCTGCGCTGTTAGGGTTTTCTTAAAAATTCTAATAGCGCTGTAGCGGGTAAGTGATATGCTGCAGCACCTCCACGCATTATGCAATCATTTAAGGCTTCATTTGTACTGATTTTAAGGGGAGTATAAATAGAAATGAGTTAAGAATCACTCGGCGACACTTGGAAACACAAAAAACAAAACCAAAAGAGGAAAATATGATGTTTTGGAGAGCATGCTTGGAGTTTGGACGAGAGCTTGAAGATTTGGAGTTTGTTCTTCAACAAGTTTTATTTCCTTCTTCTCCTTTCTCTTTTATCTTCCAGAATTAGTATTTTTCTTGATTGTGTGCAAACCATGGATATGAGATTTGGATTGTTTATGGTTTATGCTATGGGATTATTGATGTATACTTCTAGTTAAACTCTTTAGAGTTAGGAGTTTGATGTAGTTTTATTGTTGTTACGTTATGAAAAATTATATATGCTTGTTAATGTATTTTCACTTCAATGCATTTGTGTTTCTCTATGCTTATTGTCTAATTTGATTATCCATTGAATTAGAGATATAGATGTGTAGATTTAGGTTCGGAAGAGTTACTTTCACATATTGGATTTGGGAAAGCACAACCTACAATTAGTTGAGTTCGGGAGGTCAATTAATTCTGGTAATCAATATTAGGTTGCTTAATGAATGCTTGATTTGGTTAGGCTAATAGGGATATTGTTTAATTGGGTCTTGCATACTATTTTACTCGGCACTCGGGGGAGAAGGAGCGAAATTATTTTCAAAAACTTAAGATTAATGAATTGAGTGAAATTAGTTAACAAGCTTAAGAATCGAATTAGCATAGCTCGGTAGGATGAAATCGGATCCCTAGCCGCCTTTATACTATCAGAGTTCCTTTCGATCCCTTCTTGTTTCGAAATTACTTCTTTACTTGCTTTGTTAGTTAATTTTATTGTTTTAATTGCTACAATCACTCAAATTTGATTGTCTAGATAAAGTTATAGTTATTGTAATTACGATATTTAATTTAACTTGTAAAAACTTAATCTCTATGAGACGATATCTGTATTTAGATACACTTTATTACTTTTGCGATTCGTTTACTTGTGAACACACACACTTCAATTGAATCAAAATCATTTTCACAAGTTTTTTGTAAACCAAAGAGAAAGGAGAGCAAGAATTCAAGCTACGACGGATGAACAGCTAGTTACTGTTAGCTTGAGTAAATAAGCTGTTTGTTGTAAAAAGAGGGTTATAATCCCTATAATTTGTGGAAAAAATCAGTGTATGTACTGTTAAGATCGACCAATTATTACTAGTGTTTCTGCGAAAGCACGATTCTAAGGCTAGCTGCCTATTTGATTTTTGCACATGCATGTACTATATTATACCAGTGGTGCACTTGTAATTAACAAAGAAAAATATTTAAGAGTATCATCGAAATTAAGCAGTACTACTATCGCAAATAGAAAATGAATTCTATCTGTAAATTTTATAGTGTGGGTAAGTAGTATTTACTCAACATTACGAGTGCACTATCATTAACAAATGAGCCTGAAGTCTTTTATGCTACGAACCTAAACTACTCCTCTTGAGACTTTAATATATATATATATATATATATATATATATATAATCCAGTAGTACATGATGTCTTGCACTTTATTATTGGAATGTGACTACCAAACGCCAATATATGTATCACAGATGTATATATGAATATGGATTTAGGGTAGCAGAACCCACATGAAAGCTACAAATCATACCTGGGAACAAAAGCCAAGAATCTGCAGAACATGATCATCTTTTTGTCTTTTGTGGGCACAAACTAAAATGTAAAATGATAGGCGGAGCCGACAATTTGGGAATCTAATGCTTTCACAACTAATACATATACACATACACATACATGTACATATACATATAATACATATATATATATATATATATATTAGACAACCTCGTAGATCACCACACTGATCTACAGTCTTCCACAAGCCCATTGCCCCATGTATGCCCACCCTTTGGCCCCTCTGTTTGCTTTATCACTTAATTTTGCTTTCCTTTATTATATTTCTTTTTTTTTCTCTTCTGGTCCAGAGGATGATCGTGTGAAAGGTTGCATGGCTTTAGGGCTCCGTTTAACATACACCTCTCTCTCTCTCTCTCTCTCTCTCTCTCTCTATGTCCTGTTTACTTATTTATTTATATTTTTTAATATCTCTCTCTTTATTAATATAAAATGAATAAAACCCATGTGATTTATAGAGCTAGGAACGTGGCAAGGACAAATTTATGTGTGATATATATAGCTAGAAAGAATCATATAAATGTGGGAACTTGTGGGCGGGGTGAGGGCATGAATCCCCACATTTTCTTTTTACTACAACTTTAATCGGTAAGAGCATATGCGATTGGTAAAATAGATGAGTTTGGAATCTCAAATGATCTTTAATACTCTTTATGCAAAATCAAAACGCTCCCCGGCCCTTAGTACTACACATTCTTCCATGATAAGTCGCATAAAAAAGATTGACGACATTAGTTAGCTGTTGATTTCTGCGGGTCGAAAATTGTGAGCCAGACGGTTGATAAAGATTAAAGACTATAGTATTGAAAAGGTCTTTCGGCAAAACACCTTAAACCACTTCTCTCTCTCTCTCTCTCTCTATATATATATATATATATTTGTATGTATGTATATATTTATATATATATTTATCTTACCCTCTTCTCTCTCTCTCCCAATGCAATTGGCCAAGTACAACTCAAACTAGAACGATGGCTGAGGTGTAAAAAACCACATGCCCTAACGAAATATGTATTACGTACTATATTATGTAAGTTGGTGATCATCAATTATTGTGGCTTAAAACTTCAGTTTTCTTTCCATTGGGAATGAAACTATATAGTGGATTACTGAACTGAATAAGTATATGTATCTGTACTTCTAGCTTAAAGTTCATATAACTGTTTATATATTCAGCCCAAAAAAATGCGCCAAATAATTTATTAATGTTTATGTATCCATTTCCAAACCTAGCAATATTTCTCTTTGTATAAGTGGTGGGAGAGAGAGAGAGAGAGAGAGAGAGAGAGAGAGAGAGAGAGAGAGAGAGAGCAGTCAAAGATTTTGTGTTGTAATCATTAAAGTTGTTAAGTATGTCTTTACCCAAGTGAAAATGATATTTTAAGAAAAGGAACTAAAGGGGCCAGTAAACAGAGACGATAAAAAATTGGCAAAAATTAAAAGAAAAAAGGAAAAGTGGTTTTGGATGACAATTGGAAAAATAAAAGAGGGGGTTCTACAGAAAGCAAAAGTAGAGTGTGACGGTGTGCCAGGTAGATTTATTCGAGGATGATGCTGGGCCCCTCTTTAGAAGTCATTAAGCTGCTCTTGTGATAAAAGACTTCTTTCCCGTTTGATATATATATATATATATGTACCAGTTTATATAAATAATAATGATTAAAAGAACATTACTATCCTTTCTTATTAATTTCTTTCTTTCAGTGCCTGATTTCTCTGTTTGTTTCTGATCTCTCGCTTTGATTTGCATGAGGTGATTAATTACACATATAAGAAGGTGGAAATCTAATGGATAAGTACATTTATTTTCAGGTTCTATCGGATGAATCTGAAATTTACAATATCAAAAAAATTTTGTCATCTTAAATCGAAATTCAAATATACATACGCATAGTCGGGTTGACTCGGTTGCAAAGTTGTTAGATTCCTAATTTAGTGGAATTTTGATAACTATTGGAGACTCCTAAAATAAAGGCCACTACTAAAAAAATATAACGACACTTTTAATTTTTCTGATATGTGACATTATCTTTCCATTTCTCTCTCACCTTCCATATACGCGTTCAATATTTGTGGTTTTTGGACTGTCAAAAATAATGAATGTTCTTCTAATATTTACACACCGTGAGCACACGAATGTCATAAAATTATCGTGACAAATTCTAAATTAGTTCAGATCAAAATTCAACACGGTAGGTCATTATTTTTTATCCAGTAGACCGAGAATCTGACCTGACACGTCATGGTATACAATTTTGACACTAACCATACAAAATTCACTACCAATATCAGATTAAGATAAAGGATTAACTTCACTTTCGACCCCCAAGTTATGTTATTCGTCTCTTCTTTGGCCCTTCATTAAAAATAAAAAATAAAAAAACTGTTTAAAACTCAATAGAATCAACGGTGCGAGTCTTACATGCTTTGTTAATTAAGATAAATTAAACTAATCGTGCTTTTAAGTTGTATTCAAAGAAATTTAATTCTCATATACTTTGTTAATTATTAAACAAGCTCGTGGAGAGAGAACTTAATTTTTATTTTCGTTTCTTTTTCTTATGAATTTATTTAGGAGTGATTTATTTGAAATACCCTTTATTAACTAAGCGCGTAATAATGACTTTTGTGATTGAATGGCCAAACTCGGGACAAGAAGTGTTGTTTAGGGTGCAATTCGTAATGTTTTGAAGGTTGGAGGTGAAAATGGGACAAGGAACACAATTTTAGGATAAAAATAAAATAAATGTAAGATAAATTCAAAAGAGTGGTTCTATTCACACACCTTTAATTACTCCTCGCACCTCCTTTTAAATGCTCACCCTACGCAATTTAAAAATGATTAAACTTATTTTTTACAAACTTCTATTATTTTAAAATTACCCATATCTATTTTCATAAGATTAATAATTCTTTACCGCTTCAATTTTATTTTCACACTCATAATTTCATTTTAATTTGTTACTTTAGTATTTATAATTTCTCTATTTCTCTATGTTTTTTTTGGTTGAAGCTTTAGGCATGAAATCTTTTTTTTTTTCATATATAAAGAAACTAATCTATTATTTTTTTATAGAAATATAAAGGATTTATCTATAATTTCACAAGTAAAAGTCATTTTACTCATACAAAAGCTGAACAATATGCACAGAATGATTTTGAATTGTCTTGTAATATCCTTTCTTTCTAAACAGCTAAAAAAAGTAATTACAAATGACAAAAGAAATAAAAAATAATGCAAAATGGTAAAACAAGATAAGCAAAGAAAATAATGAAACGAAAAAAGTAAGAAATCCATGCAACTTTATAAGAATAAAAAACGAAATGATTAGCAAAAAGAATAATCACTGTGAAATGAAAAAAAAAAAAGCGACAGAGCAGCTGTCAAACAAAAAATAGTAAATGAAAAGTTATATTAATATTATTGGGATAGAGCATATGGGTATGTGAGGAGAGAAAAAAAAATCTCATCATTAGTTTCTTTTTAATAATAAAATTTAATTACATAATTAAGTTTATTATAATTGTCTATTTTTGTCATTTTATGTGAGAATATTATATAAGTTGTGTGAATAGAACCATCCAATTCAAATAATAAAATTTGACTTTTATAGATATCAAATTTGTTTTTGACGAACAAATTTGCTAAAACGATAAAACTAGTAATTCTAGTTTAAAACCCTAATTTTGGACTCTGACTTTCTTTTTAGAGTATATAAAGATTCATGGGGGAATGAAAGAAATAAAATATTTCAAAAATGAAACAAAACTTAATAGCATAACTTTTGAGATATAAAAATTAGTAGTATATATATTTTGCACAAACAAATAGAAACTCCGAAATACCCCCCAGTTTATTCTCCTCCAAGAATTACCCTTGTTGTAGTTACTATATATTTTCACTTATATATATAATTCTAATAAATTTCATTTGCTGTAATTTATTTTATTTTCTTCGGTAGAGTATAAAATATGCTTACAATTAATTTTAAACCATGTTATTTGTTATAATTAATTTCAGAAAGCTACTATTTACTACAATTTTCAAAGATGACAATTTCGTGTTGCTGAACGAACCTATGTGCGAAGAGGTAGAAATAGCATCTGGCTAAGATCTCAAACATAAATGGGTGTTTATGTCCAAATGTAGTGTTTGTATGAACCGCCATGTCAATTGTGGGATATCGGATGTCCTAGCATGAGCTACAATTTTGTAACAATTTCCTTATGATAGGGCGACTTAGGTAGAGCTGCTACTTAATAGAAGACGAGATTTGCAGCGTCATTTAGCTGGGAAAATGGGCCGCCGTAGACGACGATTGTGGAGTGTGGTGGAATGTTAGATACTAATATTGTCACATAGGATATAAAATTTAAAACGATTAGTGGGTTTATTAACCATCGTGTTCCCACCCCTTACAAGCGAGTTTTGTAAGGGTGAATTCTAACTAATGGGTTTGTAAACCCCAACTCCCCCTCTCCAAAAAGAGAGAGAGAGAGAGAGAAAAAAAAAAAAAAAAAAAAAAAAAGGACAAGACTACAAAAGCTTTGAATCGAAATATTACGTTTGTCTCCAAAATCAATTGCAATATATGTCACGGCTTCAATTTCAATACCAAATGCGATATTATTCAAGCTAGCTTGCAAGTCTAATTGTGCAAACGACGAGAATGGTGATGCTTTATTTTACGGATTCACAAAATCGTGCATGAAAATTATAGCTCTGATACCATATATACATATAAATTTAAGAACAAAAATAGGGTCAAAAGAAAGTCAGGGTTTCTTATTGAACACTTGTATATAATGAAATATACTAGAAAAAAAGGTTATATAGAGTAATTGGAGGAAATAATTAAAAGACTAATCTATCCTTAATGATAAAAGAAAACTATCCCTTAATCAAAAAAGATAACAAAATAGATAAGAATTATAATGTAATTTAACCGAACAAGAAAGAGATGTAAAATGTAGATAGAGAATACATAAGCAAGGATAGAAACATATAGTATCATCATAGCTAGGATAGAAGCACTTTTGCATGACATTGTAAAAGTGCGCGCAATGATAGACGCAATTTTTTTCTTGTAATTATTTAATATTGTTTGCCTAAATCTCTACACACGCTTAAGACACGACATAGTTTTGATTAGAAAAATAACAACGATCATATACCCAAATTAAATATGTGCACATGATCACATATCACTTACTCATAATTTAAAACATAATATTTCATTTCTTGACACTCCTAATTGAATGATATGATCCACAAAAGAATGAACGAAATGAGAAATTATAATATAGGCCAATCAATAATTACGAAATAAAAAGCCATATTGAGAAATGATAACGTCATTGATAATAATTGTTTTAATTTTCTATAGTTTAGTAAGCAGTAGGTATACTTAACGGCCTAGCAAACAATTTGATATGATATGCATGGCATAAATACTTTAGACGATACGTATGATTACAATAGTGATTAAAAATTATAATAAGAGAGGAGGTAGCTCGATCTAGGACATAGTATTGCGTGTTGTAGGCCATGGACGGTCGGGTGGCCCACGCAGCTTTTAGTGTGGGGCCTCCAATTTTTTGTCAGTTTCTGAGCAGACAAAAGCTGAGAAGCTTCTTATCCTCCCTCTGGGTTTTCACACTATGCCTCACACATAGAATCTCCCCTAAAGCCAAAGTACTATTTACCCCTATAAATATCATGTATGCCAGAAATATTCCTTTACACTTTTACCCCCATTTCAGCGTCATAATTACCCTGTCTACCACTCCCACTGATGAGATATTGTTTACTATCTCATCAATATATAGAGGAGTGGAGATAATTTTGTAGTAAATAAAAGGGCATTTTCAAAAGCTTTGATCCCCCAACAGTGTCTTATTTAATCCCATGTTCTACAAGACAGTTTTAGTTCACGTTCTCCAGGTTTGTTCTCTTCTAGCTCACTAGTACTGCATCTCTCTCTCTCTCTCTCTCTCTCTCTCTCTCCACTGCAGCAATGGCACCCATGAGTCTTCCTCCGGGGTTTAGGTTCCATCCAACAGATGAAGAGCTGGTAGCTTATTATCTAGATCGAAAAATCACAGGTCAAACGATCGAGCTCGAAATTATTCCAGAAGTTGACCTCTACAAATGTGAGCCATGGGATTTACCAGGTACTTATATTAGATATAATGCACAAATATTGTAGTAGATGCCCCCCCCCCCCCCCCCCAAAAAAAAAAAAAAAAAAAAACTTCTCTGAATATATGTACAAGTGTACGTGAATAATATATTATATATGTGCATATATAGAAGATACAAATTTCTTTAACTTGAGCAAACCCTAACTAATTGTTGACACTAGTTTTCTCTTTTAATTTCCCTTTTGAATAAATTGTATAGACTCAATTAAGCATATTGATTTGAATTACAGATAAGTCGTATTTGCCGAGCAAAGACATGGAGTGGTATTTCTACAGCCCTAGGGACAGAAAATACCCTAATGGGTCGAGAACGAATAGGGCGACAAGAGCTGGTTACTGGAAGGCGACTGGGAAGGACCGGCCGGTGCAGCCGCAGCGCCGACCGGTCGGAATGAAGAAGACATTGGTTTATTACAGAGGAAGAGCCCCACATGGCATCAGGACTAACTGGGTTATGCATGAGTATCGTCTCATTGAAGACTCTCTTTCTGGCGCTGCTTCCTCAACTTTAAAGGTACGGATATATTTATATGTATAGATTGTTATATATAGCATACATTTAAATACATATATATATATATATATGTTGGCAATAGTAAAAAGTAGTGGCTGTAATAATTAACTAATCAAGTTATATGCAGCAGAACATCTTTGTTTACTCGTGACAATAACTTGAATAATACATTTCTGTTTATTCAAAAAGACAAAAAAGGAAATTTAAAACCCCTTCTTTTCTACTGTTTGATTAAATTCAGCCTGCTTGTCGGCTTCCTTTATACCCCAATTAAATACCCTGAAAGTTGGAGTGAAAATGGTAATATAAGAACAAGGCCAAAGAGGGAGGGATAACGAGATATCAGGCTTTTGGAAAAGGTCCAAGTGAAGAATTAGGGTTATATGAAGAAATAGTATGATGTTATCATGCTTTGTTTTCGCCTTTAATTTATATGTCTATCACATCATGTAGTACTTAATTCATTTTGTCGTTGCGTCTTGGATCTTTATAAAATCATCAATATAGTAATCTTACTAATTAATTAAATTACAAAGAGAAGTACGGGTCTTCCAAATTTGAACCTCTTTATATGATTAAGTGAAGAAGGCAGGCTCTGATCAGGAGAATTTGAATTTGACCTTTCTATTACACTATGGATATATATATATATATATATGTACAGTTTTGAGTTTTTTTTTTCTTTTCTTTTTCACTAGAGAGGATATATAAATGCAATGAATATAGATCATGATCCGTCTTTATGTTAATATCACGCTCCAATACTAAAGCAAATCTCTTTAGTTTCTGTTCTTTTTTTCTTTTCTTTCTTCTGCTTCTTTAATTTTCTTTATCCGCAAAAAGGAAGAGCTTATCAACATGATGATGATGAAAGAGTCTTTGGTTCTAGGCTTTAGGTGTACTTCCTATTAACTTTCTTTTAGACTTTAGCATCACGTATTTCTGCTTCTTTTTTGTTTTTACCCTTCTTTCTCTATAGTTGCTTTTATTTGGATCCTTGTTTCTTACTTCTTACAAATGAACATGAAAAGAGGCCAAAATTGATGCTAAAAGATTTTAACGGATCATGTTTTATATTTTTAATTTATGTACATCCTCAGGATTCTTATGCACTGTGCCGAGTCTTCAAGAAAACAATTCAAATACCAAAGAGTAACAAAGACGAAAAGTCGAACAATAGTGCGAAAACAGAAAAGGAATCTGCTGCCACAGCAAACGAATCTAGCGGCGGCTTTGATCAGATCTCCAGAGGAACCGAAAATGAAGATGATCAAAATTTCAACAATGACTATTTTCCGAATAAAACCTTGTTTCCTTCCGAAACCTCTTCTTCGGATCTCACTCAAGGGACACCAACCGAAACCGGGGTTGCAGATGATTTGCAGGCCCCTTTTGCTTCTGATAATGAAGCAAACAGTACGGCTGATTTGTATTCTTATGGTGTTGATTGTTCCTCCAATCTTATTGAGGTACGTATAAATTACATCCAAAAATGATATTTCACCCAAAAAAAAAAGAAAAAAAAAGATGCCATAATAATGACTGTTTTCAAGAATCTTCTTCTGGATTTTTGTTCTTTTGTTTTGAGGATAAAAAATAAAGGGCAAGATATCATTAGCTCCTTTGCCAACAATACATTTTCAGCAATAAGATCTGCTTTAATATTGATGCTTTTTCATCACTAGGGGCTTCATGTTCACAACTCTTTAGGGTTTATCATAATATTATATATACATGTATATATTTTGTGTCTATTTATGTATATATTTATGGTAATAACTTTGGAGAGAACATACTAGCTAGTCTTGCACATTAATCATCATGATGGCCATGTTCAAACAAGTGAAAATCATATGGCGACGGCATGATTGATTGGTCAACAGGAGTTGGGAATGGCCCACAAAACAAGCCCCTTTGAGTTGTCTTTTTGATCTTAAAGTGACAAAAGTTTTAGCAAGTAATGAAACTCACTCTCTTTTCCTAAAGCTTCCCCTTCTTATAAAAATATCAATTACATTAATATTGCTGACTCAAAATGGCTTTCTTCACTGTCTTCCATAACTTCTTTTGACTGACTCAAATATCTTTCTCTCACAAGTGCTCCTCTTTGTACACCTCATAGCTAGGTCACCATCTCTAATCATCACATTGTCCTTTTCAGAAAACTATTTTTTCCCGTTTTGCACATTTGAACAAAAGTAAAGAAAAGATGCATGTTTCTTTTTTCTTTTTCTTAATTTACACTTCTCACGCTGAAAAAAGATACTGATAGTCTTCCATATAATTCCACAACAAAAAAGTTTTAGCTCCATATTTTGTGGCATTTGTTCCGGAGATTTTTTAAAATTCCCAAAAATATATCTGACGTGGCAATCCTTGTGATTTTTTTCCCCCACAAAATTTGACGTTCTGTAAATATTGTTGATATTGTCTAAATGTGCATTTTCATTGTAGGAAATTCAGATGTCAAACTATGAAAGCCTTCACTATCAACTTGCTTACCCACCTCTAGAATTGGAAGACTTCCCACAGATCAACTTGGGAGAAATGAAGCTACTGAAGTCCGAAACGACTGAAGAATGCATGTCGTACGACAAGTTCAGGGATTACATGAATGGAACGGTGGAGGATATTTTCTCTTTATGTTCTTCTTCTCATGAAAACTCAATTCCACTCCCCATGCAAGAAAATTAAGATACGTACTTCAACTGACCTAGATAACTTCACAATTATATTTTCATATATATATATATATATATACTCCAATTTATTGACATGAAGGGTAGAAAATCATGTTGGGGCTAAATTAATAACCAAAAAATGGTTGTCGTTTATTTTGCCAGCCACCATTATAAGGCCTACGTTTTAGTCTACTTCAACATACAAAGTTGAGTATAGTCACAGTATACAATCATTTCCTTTTTTATTTTTTATTTTTTATTTTTCTTCAAGAATTTTCTTTGTATTGGTGTTCTTGGATTTCGGAATTTGGTGGTGAAATAGTCAATTTTGAAAGAAAAATGGATAACCTGATGCATGCATGTAACAATATTATTACTATTGTATTCTCACGATCGAGTAATTCGTATGTGTTCTCTCCAACTTTTGTACTTCCAAACTTTCATTTTGCGATGCGCTAGAGGGAAAAAAAAAAAAAAACATCATAACAGTGAGGTAATCATGTATTACTTTGACCATGAGTTATACCATTAAATAAATGTAGAACTGAAGTGCAAGACTATGAATCAAATCAGGAAGCTCTGCCTACCCGCCCCGCCCCGCCGCCTAGGGAATCTTCTAGACCTAGAATAAGAGAGGTTCAAATTACGAAGAACGTTCTTTGTAGTATTAATCAAGATCATGCAACATATATTGTCAAATATTAATAAGAACATATTAAATTAGGCTATTCTTAACCTATTCTAAAAAAAAATGCAATAGTTTATAAACCACCATCTTAAATATGATATTTCTCTCATTCTTCCTTTGATATGAATATATATATATATATATATATATATATATCTATCCCTAGAATGTATGAGTCTTAATTTTATCTCATAGTACTCTTGATTACACTACAAGAAAGAGGGATATTAGCGATGACAAAAAGTCGTTGCAATAAATATAAAGTCGTCGCAAATGAATTTTTAGTGATCACTTGTCGTCGCAAACCTGTCTCTGCAATTGAATAGTCGCAAAAATAATTTTTGTGACAACAGCTTGTCGTCGCAATTATATTTGTGACGACAATCGTCGCTGCAATTATTTCGTCGGGTAAATCGTTAAGATGACATGGCATTAAGTATTTACGACGGTATTTTTTGAATTAAGTCGTGGCAAAAGACGCAGACTTAGCTGACGTTGCTTATATTTATTGCGACCACATTTGTCGTCGCAAATAATATTTTAATATTTTATTTATTTTTTTCTCATTTTAATAATTATAATAAATATAATTCATGATATAAATTATTATTAGAAAAAGTAATTAATAAAATAAAATAAAAATGTAATTATAGTAGAAATGTGCGGAAGTACAAATTGTTATATAAATAAAAATCTAATCAGAAGGATTCAGAGGCGGATGACCTGGACAGACATACGACACAGGAGAAGTAATCGCTGGGAAAGTCATGTTAGGGTGCATTTGAGTGATGAAATCCTGCATCATTCTAACGCTCTCATACAGCTGGAGGTTTTGCTGGTAACGCTGTTGTAAGTATTCTTCTACGTGTGGGTTAGAACGTGTCGTAGAAGATCTTACCGAGCGTGATCTAGATGACGACGCATCCCCTCAATAAACTTTTTATGGGAGTGTGCGACCCACTCTAGTCTTATGTCCTTTGCGGGTGCCCAGAAACTACTCCATAATATCCTCCTCATTAAATGTTCTTACTGCGGATGATCCAGAAGTAGCAGACGGTGTTTGGATCTGCGTTTCTCTTTCTCCCTCCATCCGATGCTACAAATATTATAAGAAAAATAATTAAATACATAATGCGATTTAAATAAAAAAATATAATTAAACATTATGAGTATACTTACAAAAGTCTGCTCAGCTTGGAGATTAACCCAAGTATCCCCACAACGATGCATATCCCTCCAGTTATCGATGACGGACATCGGCTGTTAAGTCCCTATGGTAGACTGTATAGTAGTTTAAATGTATATGAATATAGTGTAATCGATTATCAAATTAACATTTATATTGAATAAATTATTAACAAATACTTACTTTCTTAACGCAATGTTGGGAGTACGACAGCCGACCATGAAAACTCGACCACTTTTGGTTGCTACAATTAAGTTTATTGATCCCTGACTTTTTGTATTTATGATTACATTCAGTGTTAGTAAAATTAACCTTTATTATATATTTTATAAAAATAACATATAAAATTGATTCAATTACCTGAAACTTGTCGGACACGAATCTATCGCAGTAACGACCCCAGTGAGCTAGATTCTTGAGATTTTTGGGAGGGTGGGCCCTAACTGCACTCTCATTTTGTGAACCACCAAGATCTTTGAAATAGTCATGGAGGTCGCTTTTCCAATCCTTATAACATTTTGCAGCCTCCCTGTCGACCACAGACCTAAGTATACCATCGTCGCGGTCATAATCGAGGTTGAACCATTCCTGTAATAAAATATAAACATGTTAAATGATTTTATTATATTGAAATTTAGATTAAATTAAAAACAATAAAGTTGAATAATTTATACTAGCAGGCGCTGCCTAGTGTCTCTCTTATGCTGGATGTCCATGTCCTTCCAAGCATCGTGGAAAGGCTCACAGACATCCTTAACATGGATTCCAACGGCACTATCGAATCAGGTGTCGTAGTTTCTAATTGCTTTCCAAGTACCTCCACGTTTGTCAAACATGGGGGTAATCTTTCCTTTCTTTGCCACTGTGGCTGCGATTTCGTGACCCTTAGCCTTTCCTCGACCTCCACGACGTCGTCGAGGTGCAGCATCGGGTGCTGTAGAATGAAATATATTTAGTGATCATATAATACTGATGTGCTTAATTTAACAAATTTATAATTATGTTCTAACATACCAGACTCACAGTGTGATGGCAACCTATAAGGATCGGGTGGAGGCTGCGCTCTTCGTGAAGAGCCAGCACATGTAGCGACTGGGCCAGACATGATTGCCTGTTAAGAAGTAATCATAAACGTTATTATCTTATTTACATAATGCTTACGTTATATGAATAAATATAATCATTAATACAATAATCGCAATACATAATTTTTATTCATTGTCACTGTTAATGTCTTGATTATCGCCCTCCTCATTTATGTCACTATCATCCTTAGAATCGTCGATGTCTTCTTCAACATAGTCTTCTTCATCATCCTCGACCAGTATATCAGAGTCTTGCATCAACATCGGACAAGACAACAACAGATGATATATCAGGTCAATTCCACATCAAAGTGTCAATCTCAGGGAGTTCCACGACTACGTCAATATTCATAGACTCGGTATTTTGAACTACTGTAATGTCGTCTGCTTCCGTATATGGAATATCCCAAATATGTCGATGTCCAAAATGTTCAACAATTTTCCAGTTCGGTACGTTGAATAAATCATCCACATAAAAAACTTGTTCCGCTTGAGATGCCAGTATAAATGGTTCATTCTCATACCAGGAGTCCTTGATGAAGATGTTCATTCTATTCTTGTGTCGTTGAACTCTCTTTCTTCCTAGATGAGTGTCAAACCATTTACATTTAAACAGAAGAAAATAATTGTCGTTTATGTATGATAATTCATAAATCTCTTCCAGTACTCCGTAATATGTCCGGTTATCTGGTCCATGAACACAAATACCACTATTCTAGGTATTTTGAACGATATCTCGACTGTATGTCAGAAACTTGACTCCGTTCACCACACAGTCGGAGTAGCTTTTAACGGAGAAGCTTGAACCACATGAAGTGAAATCAATTGTGCGGTCGCGTCTGGCGTGTTCCGCTCTTACAGATTGGACATCTGTTAACAGTAAACAATATGAACTAAAGTTCTATGTAGCCAGAGTTTTTAAAATTATAAATTATGAGTATAGCGTAATAACTTTGGAAATTCTCTGAATTGAATTTCATCTAATGATCTAGTTCGACCAGTATCACACTGAAATTATAAATTTGAGTTAGTGTTATCATTTCATGTGACTCAATTATGTAATAAAACAGTGAGGTAATACTTACTCAATGTAGTGTTAGATTTCTTAACAGTTGTGTAATATGTACCACTCAGCCTTACTTCGTAACTAGTTGTCTAATGTGATCAGGATTATCTTCCCAATTGGACGGTATTTTGATAGGAAAGTAGATATTTTCTTCACACTACCATCTGCATCGTCTACCCAATTTCTCTCAAGTCTCAATGACTTATAGGAAGCCATTGTCTATGCCCAACAAAGTAAATTTTACTTGTTATTCGCTTCGATGGACTTGCATCGTTGCAATTGGGACACGTGAAGTACCCTTGACCACTCCAACTAGATAAACTACTACGCTCAGGAAAGTCGTTAACTGTCATCAGCAACACAACCCGCATCCGAAATGACGTATTCTTAGCAGCATCACGAACAACAACCCCTTCATCCCACAACTCCTTTAGCTCATCTACAAGGGGCCTTAAGAACACATCAATATCTTTCCCAAGAACATTGCGACCAGGAATCAATAACGTCAACATCTTATATGGGTCCTTCGTACATAGCCACGGGGGTAAATTATATGCACTCACAATAATAGGCCACATACTGTATGATAAACTCATATTTCCGAATGGGTTGAAACCATCAGTAGCTAACCCTAATCGAATATTTCTTCGTTCACGTGCAAATTGTGGATATTTTTCATCAAAATCTGTCCACTCGGTACCATCAACTGGATAACGCAATAAGTCTTCATCCCTCGAACGCCCCCATACGTGCCACATCATTTCCTTAGCAGTGTGACGGGAAGCATATAGACGCTTCAACCGATCCTTCAAAGGGAAATATCAGAGTACTTTCCACATAACTTTTTTCCCTTTTTGCTCTTCCAACGGCTTGTACTACATATTGGACAAGACTGCAAAGTAGCATTATGCTTCCAAAACAAAATGCAGTCATACCTACACACATGAATTGCCTTGTAGCTCAGACCCAGTTTACTCAATAACTTCTTCACCTCATAATGTGATGTAGGTAGCTTGTTCCCTTCAGGAAGTGCATCTCTCAGTAGCTTCAACATTTCATTTTTGCATTCATTAGGCCACTTGTACAACACTTTTAGATGCACTAGTTTCACTAAAAAATTCAACGATGAATACTTAGTGCAACCCGGATACAATCCGACTTGGAGCTCGGATAATAGATCTCAAAATTCATCGTAATGCGTATCTTCTATAACTGTTTCTGTCTCACACATTGTCTCATGATCATCACTAATCCCAGCCACATCATTTAGCGCTGCAAACATCTCGTCAACAGATTCACTGACAACTACAGCAGCAGGACGTACATGACCATGGTCAATCCATGTGGTGTAACTTGTATCAAAACCCCATCGATGTATGTGCTTTTTCACTGTTTCAGGTGGATGCATCTCATGATTTCTACACTTGATACACGGACAACTAATAGTCCCGAGTGAATTTGCAGAATTCTTTCCAACCTCAATAAAAGCACATAAACCATCCCAGTACTCATCAGACAACTGGTTCCTTAAATGTATCCAACTCTTGTCCATAGGCATCTCCACTACGAAGAATTTATAAAGTTTTATCAAATTTTATGAAAATTAAGACAAATTAATTTGTAATAAGTATTTAACATTAGTTTAATTAATTATTTTATTATTAATATAATCTTAATTAAAAATTTTATCTAATTTTTTAATTATCACATAATCATCATTAAACAAATTTCATACAAATTTTAATCTAATTATCACATATTTCAGTTTCAATTCTAATTTAAAATTCACAATTCTAAATTCAAAACCACAAATTATATCTAAAATCTAAAACAAAATCATAAACCATAACAAAAATACCAAAATCAATTAACAAAATACCAAAATATTAACTCACAAAATCTAAACCCACAAATACCGGGGGTTGGAGAACGGTAAGGCAGCAGGGAAAGGAGCGTGCCGGCAGCCAGAAAACGGTGAGTGCGGCCAAAAAAGTGGGCGGCGAGGGGGAGATGAAAACTCTGCATTTTTTGACTTTTTTTCTCCACAAATGAAAGATTTAAGGAGAGAACGATATTTTTAAGCTATTGTCAGTGTTTTTGGACAGTTTTTGGAGGTTTTGGATGGATAGAGTAAGGAAAAATGCGAGAGGCTCACCAGAAAAAATGGCAGAAGGGGTTGATAAGTGCATGAAAATGTACTTAAATTGTTCATAATTGCTAAATAAATTAAGTTTTAATTAAATATTTTCGTGGAATTAATATTTTGTGCAAGTATTTGATTTTAATTTAATTTAATTTATTTTGTAGGGAAGTAAGACATTTGGGCCAAAACTAAAAAGAAAAAAAGAAGAAAGAGGCCCATTAATTTAATTGGTAGGGAAATAAGACATTTGGGCCAAAACTAAAGAAAATGAAAATGAAGCCCATCAGCAGCCATCCGCCGAGCCGAGCCAAGCTAAGCCGAGCCGCGCCAGTCCCTTAAGCCCGCCACGTGTCATTTTTCTGCTGCACTTCAGTCGCTGGGACCCAGCTGTCCCTACGTGTACGTGCGCTTGGCGCGCACGGTTCCCTCTCCCGGGTGAGTCTCCTCCACGTGCGCGTCAGACGATTCTCCTTTCTTCCCCGCGTGGGTCCCGCCGTGCAGCAGCTCTCCAACCACCTACTGCCACGTGTTCTATGGGTCCCAGCTGTCGGCCATTTCCTCTCTCCGCCTCTACCGCCATGTGTCCCTGCATAGTAACATCTCTCCTTCCGCGAATCAGCTTACGCTACGTGTCCCAGCCGTTTGGTTTTCTCCAGCCAGCTTATCCGTTTGGTTCCGTTGTGTGATGGTTTTCCTTCCCACTATGATCAGCCTTTATTCTCAAAATTAAGCCTTGTAAATTCTAATTTATTGGGGTCCGTTTTTACTTTTTTATTTTCTATTGATAGTATTTTTTAGCATTCCCAAAACTCTATAAATAGAGCCTTTGTTAAGTGTGTTAGGTTATTGATTTTTAGTTTAAGTTTAGACACATTTTTTCTTATTTTCTTATTCTTATTCTCATACTTTCTTTTTAGAATTTTATGGGAATTATGTGCAAGTTAGGCTAGAGTTCTTTGGTGAGGTTAGAGAGAAACCTATATGTGAAGTGATCTTGAGTGGATTTTGATTCTCCATTTGTTCTTCAAAGTTTATATATTTGAGTGATTAATCTTCTTCTATCTTCTTCTAATTTCTCATATTGATATATTTTATTGTCAACTTTTATATAAATCTAGTCAAGCTCTTTTTATGTGATTGTTGCATGATACTATATATTGGTAAGTATTGTTTTGTGAGTAATCTTTTACTGTAATATTGCCAACAGTATATTGTCGCTTTTAGATTTCTCATAAGATAATTTTTCCTAATACTAAACGTAAGAATTTTACTCACTCGAATACATTTTAATTCACATGTTCTTCAAATATATATTTTTCGATTGTTAGTTTGGGATGTGAAACTTGCAATTGAGTAATCTCAAAGATCAAAATCCATTCGGGTGAACGAAGCATATAGGGAAATCTCGACGCCTTACCGGTTTTAATTATATAATTTTCTCATACATTTTTCTTACGCTTAAACTTCTCAACAAAAATTACATTCTCTTTTATTTTTACTTTATTATTTATCTCCTAAAGTTTATTATTTGCTAATCGTTTCTTGTTTAATTTGTCACTTTGTCGTGGGATCGACCGTCCTAATTGTGCTACAATTGACTGCTTGTTTTGTACACGTTTGGGCGTAATCAGGGGTCTGTTATTTCGTTTATGCAGGTGGTTTTTTGCGATGACATTATGTCGTTGCAAAAAAGATTAAATCATCGTCGCAATTAATGTTAAAACAATGACGTCCTTCTTCACCTCATTAATATTTTTGAGAATATTCTTGAGGAATATACCCTGGCTCATTTTTTGCTACGATAATTTAACAATGTCGTCACAATTAATTTTGAGAAAATTGCCAAAGTTTCCGCCCTTTTTTTAGAAAAAATTAAATCCCCAGTTATTTGCGACGACATTATTAAAACTGTCGTCGTAAAAAACAGTTGTCCTTGATAGAATTTTTTGGAACCCTTTTTTCTGACGACACGTGTCATCGCAAATACAGTCGTTCTGAAAAGAATTTTCTGGAACCATTGTTTGCGACAACTTTTTGCCTTGTCGTCGCAAAAAATAAAGAAATATATGGAACCTATTCAAAGGGAAACCGCCAAAATTTTTCATCTCTTTTTAGCCACGTCACCGCCAGCTGTAACCATCAATATTTGCAATGACATGTCCTCACAAATAATGTACAAACTGGTGCCAAAATTGTTTGCGCCAGATTGGTTTTGGCGCTAATGGATATTAGCGACGACATGTCGTTGTTAATAAGCCGTTCCATTTTAGGGACGAGATGTTGTCATAAATATATAAATTTTGTGCAGCGACATGTCGTTGCAAATACTTAATACGACGACAAGTCGTTCAAAAAATTTATTTTCTTTTAAGTGACGATATGTCGTCGCTCTAATAATATAATTTAGCAACGATAAACGTGGTTGCTAATAATGTCATCGCTAATAACTTTTTTGTTGTAGTGTTAATGTCATTTTAACTAATATAGTTATTTGATTAAAAGAGATATTTATGAAGAGTAAAAAATAAAAAAGTAGACCTATCTATTTTCAAAAGGTATTTGTCTTATTTTCTTTTAGATAAATGAGACAGGTCTTCAAGGGAGTGAAGCTAATGGGCTTTGGGCTTCTTTTTCACCTCTAGCGTCTTGCTAACTAATAAAACATATTTAATCAGATCAACGAATATAAATACAAGTAACAGGCAAGAATCGAATCACGCAAGCAGCAGATTGGCCGTTTCCTCTCACTTTCTGAAGTTTCAATTTTCATGCCATACTTCAATCATCAATTCTATTTAACAAAAAAGAAAAAAAAGGAATTATTAATCCACCACGAAATTCAGATCATGATCAGAAAATTTCAATAAAACAGTCTCTCTCCAATTTAAGGATGTGTGTGCCCGTCCATATCAATATATGTCCATACATTTGGAATACCTGTATGTGCAACAAATGAGTAGTACTTCTGAAAACTAATAAATAAATTCGCAAAAAGAAAACCAATAAAGAAGTAATAATTTTCCCTGATCAGCTACTGGATTATGACAGCTAATTAAGATAGAACATAAAATTTTATATATACAAATTGAACAAGAATATACGTTAAGGAAAGAAAATAATCAAGTTACACTTGCGCCCAAAAGAAGTAGGGGGAAAAAAAAGGAATCATTCATACAAGAAAACTACGCTTAAGCTTAGTAGTTCCATGCAAGATCATATTGCACAGAGCTAAGATCATGACACAGTAATGCTTCAGATAAAAGTGCAGACTCCATAAATCCATGATCAAAACTGTAGTTTTCAAAGTTCTTGTCCCAAATCTTCTCATCATTCTGTTGTAGCTGTTGCTCTTGATGATTATCTCCCAAATCTTCCGATATTGTTTTCGGCGCTTCAAACGGCTGAAAACTTGAGTCCCAAATGCCAAACTCATCAAGTAATAAACCAGGCATGGGTAGATGTTGGTAAATGTCCACAGAAGAGGAAGAAGATGAAGAAATATTTGGTGTCGAGTTTTCGATTGATGATGATCCATAATAATATTGCATATCATGTGATGAGTAATTTTGATCTTTTACTGTCCAAGTAGCTAAATTACTACTATTTTTAACTCCAATAATAGGGCCTTTATATTGATCAACGGTGGATATGTCTGTTGTTTGGACATTGTTATAAGGAGGGCTGATAAGAGGTGATGAATTATGCTTTGTTTTCTCATGTACTACTGAAATCATTGAGAAAGCTGAAATGGGTTGTTTTTGATTCTCATGTGAAACGACAAATGAATTGTTCTTATTTGAAAAAGCTCTTTGGTGTGACGACGACGAGATCAGATTGTGGGTCTGTGGGTCTAGACCTTGTGATATTAGCTTTTTCTTAATGCTTGAGTTCCAGAAATTCTTCACCTCATTGTCTGTCCTTCCGGGGAGATGCTTGGCAATCTGAGCCCATCTGCGATACAATCAACGAAAAGTACTGGTATGCTTGAAATGACATATATATTGAGTGACGCTTTATCTATTTGATGTCAATTATTCTTTCTCCTCATTTATTAAAAAAAAAAAAAGGAATATCTGTGTCCTTAATTATATGCATAATTAATTTCACTGATGTAGGTAAAAAAGTACCAATTAAAATATGTATTACACATTGTAATCGATATATTTTCACACTACATATTATGTTACAATATTCTAGTAGACGTACTAGCTTATATTTGGATTTGTTACCTGTTGCCTAGAATTCTGTGAACATCAATGATGATCTGTTCTTCTTCTTGTGTGAAGGAACCTTTCTTAAGGTCTGGTCTCAAGTAGTTTATCCATCTTAATCTGCAGCTTTTACCACACCTCTGCAATCCTGACATGATAATCAATTATCATATGACACGTATACCCGGTCCATATGAATTAGATGGTCACCCTATTATGTAAAATTAGAAAAAAAAACTAACATTACAGTCATTAAATGTAACATTGACAACATTGACGTTAGAGGTAACATGATAGTAATTGAATGGAATAACGATAATACGTCTCTCTAACATTAATGTTATGTTCAGTAGTATCATGTTACGTTCACTTCTAAATATTACTTTGGATGGTCTGTTCATCCAGATGGACCATATAACAAAAGCCTATGTACGCGCGCGCATATATATATATATATATATATAGAAATATGGAGAGAAAGATGGAATATATAGTGTACCAGCAAGTTTAGGGATAGAGCTCCAACTGCCATGGCCATAAGTAGTGATATGTGTGATGAGCTTCTCATCCTCTTCAGGAGACCAAAGCCCTTTCTTCGCCTTCTGTTTGCTGCAGCAGCGGTGTCCCATATTCTCAATCCTCACCACCCGTACAAATTAAGCTTAATCAATACTTGAACGTTTTTCACAAGGGATTTCACTCCAACCCACAATAGTTTCAATAATTCTAACATTCAGTTTACACACACACACACATATGTATAATATATGTATATATACACACACACATATAAGTGTGTGTTTCTAAGTTCTGGTCCCACAACAACGAAAGAGTCAGCAACTGCAACGAAATAGATAGTCACAGAGGCAAAAACAAGTGGTCAAAACAGAATTCTAAGATTGCAAAAACAATTTATCCATAAAACACGAAATATTCCGTGTGCCATAGGTACTACGTCACCTATAAAATTATAATATTTGCATGACAAATTATATATTATTATAATGCTGAAGAATAATTTTTTCTAATATATATGATGGAGAGGCCCCACAAAAAATAAGATAAATAATGGAGAGATCATGATAGACATGAAAAGGGTAAAACGACATTCCGATTACGTCGACACTAGTGCTGAAATTTTAGACGGGCCGCCCGTGACCACTGAAAAGTTTAAATTTTTATCCGATGACCGAACCCGAACTGCCCAAAAATTTGGGCTGCCCGACCCGACCCGAAAATTGCACATGGACGGGATTCGGGCAGAGGATGCCTGCCCGTGCCCGGTCAGGCTGCCCGATGCCCGACCGGCTGCCCGAAATTTTTTTTTTATATTATATTTTTATGTTGTATAAGTAATAAGTATTTGTATAATTACAATGTGTATATTACAATTTGAAATTTGAAATGAACACACGAACTATATAAAAAAAATTACTTCTTCATTGATTTTTAAATTTGTAATTCATGATTGTCTCATTAAAAACCTTACCAAGAAAAACCCAATTGGGATAAAAACTTGGTAAGGAAAAAAGAGTGCAATCATTGTGGGACGAATTACAAATTTGACGAACTTACAAAGTCTATACAAGATTACAATAAACACTATACAAATTAGAAATTACAAAGTAAATAAATATTTACAAATTACAATAATAAAATTTAATTTGAAGTAGAAGGATCATCTTGAAAATTAAAAGTTAATCTATTAAATTCGTCGATCCATTCTTGGTTTGCCGGTGAGATTGTATCGTGTAAGCGTTGGTCGGAACGGTCCCAATCCTTGATGTACACCAAAGCTTCAACAATATCCTGCTGCAATGCTTTTCTCCGTTCTTCAAGTATTCGGCCGGTTGTACTGAATGCTTGTTCGGCTGCAACAGTGGAGACCGGGATTGAAAAAATATTCATTGCCAGTCGTGTTAGGATCGGCCAAGTTAATGCTCGTGCCCTCCACCACTCAACCAAATCAAACATTTCACTACTGTCTATAACTAAGCCCTCACTCAGGTACGTCATTAACTCGTTGAATCTGTCGCCACCTCTTGATGAAGATCTACTTCCACTCCTAGATTCTTCTTGACCTTGACTCGTTGTCGTCGTCGTCTTCTTCTTCTTCTTAGACAACCCGAAAATATTCAAGAATGAATGCGGATTGTCGTCTCGTTGTTGCGGTTGTTCAACACGGGGTGTGTTTCTAAACCTACTTTCGTAAGAGATATATAGAGAATATATTTTTTCCTTTATAATAGGAAATTGGTCAGTAGTGTCAATAGCTAAAAATTCACCTAAGTTATCTAATCCACTTTCTAAACCTTCTAATTTTAATCTAGAGTCAAAAATAACACCGAAACCATACAACATGTGTAATTTAGACCAATATTTTTTAAATTTCTTTTCCATAGAGGCGATAGGAACTCCTAAAGCCTCGTGTGTCCTAAATTCACTAAATAAAATAGACATTCTTAAAAGTTCTCCTAATGCTAATGGTGAAGTTGGGTAATAAGTTCCACTAAGCTTTAAGGTAACTTCGTGAAATCTACCTAAAAAGTTATACAAAAGTTCGGCAATTTGCCAATCAGTTTCATCTATAAATCATGTTCCTAATTTTGCACTAACATAATTTGTTATAGCATCTTTATAGGGGATGCATTGTTCAAGCATTATGTAAGTGGAGTTCCATCTTATGGGCTTATCTAAGGCTAATGCTCTAGGATTTTGATTACATGCTTGTAGAAATCTAAACCAATCTTGTATTCTTTGATTACTACCTTGAATCCAAGCAATGTTATCTCTACCTCCTTTAATATGACCTGACATTGATTTTGAACCGGACTTTACTATTAAATTAATTATATGACATGCACAACGTTGATGGAAAATATCATTATTACCGAATAAACTTAAATCATTTTCAAAAAGTTCTATTGCTTTAGTATTCACAGTTGCATTATCTAATGTTATGGCCACTATTCTATCTCTTAAACTATATTCATCAATAACAGATAAAATTGTGTTATATATTAAATTGACAGTATGTGATCCTATAACACATTTGAAACCTAAGATTCTCTTATCCAAATCAAAACCTTTATAATAATGTCCGGTTACAGCTAAATAATCCTTGTTGGCAACGGCGGACCAAATATCCGCCGTTAACGCAACGCAACCACTAGTAGAGTGTAGAAGGTTGATTAATGCTTCCTTTTCTTGTTTATATAATTTTAATGCATCTTTCCTAAGAGTAGTTCTAGAAAAAAATTGTGCATTAGGATTATGTACAATTTTAATATAACGTTGCCAATTTCTTTGTTCAGTAAAACTTAGTGGTTGATCTAATGTGGCTATTAATCGTGCCATTTCCATACGATCAACTTGCGGATCGTATTTCCACGTGCTTAGACTGCCGGTTTGGCGGTCAAACGATCATTGTGTTTGGCGGAGATCAGCTCTGCCTCCTTGCTTTTGAAGACACTTTTCAGAGTGTCTTCTTAAGTGTGTAGTACCGTGAATAGTGTTATCTTGTAATTTCTCACCACAATATTTACATTGAGCTATGTATTTAATGTTACCGTTATTGTCGACATCCTCGAATGTGTTGAAGTGCTCCCAAACTGCTAAGGTGCGCTTGTATTTCTTCTTAGAACTTGCAACACTTGCACTAGCACTACCGCTTGCCTCTCCTCCATGGCCACTTGTGCCACCACCATTGCGTCCCCGACCTCTAGTACGTCCACCAGGGGTCGGATTTGCAGTTTCATCAGCAACTATTTCCATAGTTTGCGATTCCTGCGTTTGAAAAATATTAGGAAATTGTCCTTCTTCGATGTTGAATTGGGCATCAATGGGAATATCACCACCATAACCAGAAGAAGCCATTATGAAAAATAAGAGAGATTGAGAGCGCTTTGAGAGAGCTTAAGAGAGATCGAGATTAGAGAGAGATTTAAGCGAGATTTGAGAGAGATTAAGAGAAATTGAAAGAGATTAAGAGAAATTGAGAGAGAATGAGAGTTTTGGGGTAAGGAAAATGGTTGGGGGGAGGGGGGTATTTATAGGAAAATTTTTGGGTTGAAAAAAAAAAATTTTCCCCCAAAAATTCGGGTCCAACGGCTACAATTTTTTCGGGCAAAAATCGGGCAACGGTAAGAAATCCGACTGTTGGGTTCAAATTTTCGGGCAAAATTCGGGTTCGGGCAAAAAGACCCGTTTTGTTCAAAATTTGGGCATTTTTTCGGACAACGGCAAAAAAAAATCGGGCATTTTTCGGGTAACGAGCAAAAATCAAGCAACGGTCACAAAAATTTGGGCAGTTCGGGCACAAAATCGGGCAAAATTCGGGCAGCTTCGGGTATTGCCGGAAAATTCAAAAAAAATCCGGCGAACGGCGGGGGACGACTTCTCCACGGCGGCAGGCTGTTGGGGGGGTTAATATTTTTGGGCTACCCGAGCCCGTGCCCGAAGAAAACCGTGGTCGGGCGGCGAGAGTGGCCTGCCCGCTGTGCTCGAAAATTTTCGGGCATGCCCGCCGCCCGAAAGTTCAGCACTCGACACCTACTCTAGCTCTAAATCCTATGCCTATAATCCCAAAGCTTATTAAATTAAAAATAAATATTTTTCATTAAATTTATTAAACATATACTTTATGATAATTGGTCTTGAGTGTTGAATAAGTCTGTATCGTATGGTACTTGTAAACAATACTAAAACGATTTAACTAAATAGCATAATTGAAAAATTGTTTAAAATCAAACTCTCGCTTAATAAGTCAATTTTTGTTTTTTTTTTCCACTTGACATGTTTGCAAAACTTCTTACTCATTTTCCATCCTCACGTTTTGACAAAGTCAAAGATAGATTAATGTAGCTTTTATGCCGAAATTCAAACAATAGCACAGCTACGTACACAAGAGAAAACATGCAATACCTGAACCATTTCGTTAACTTGTACGGTTTAACGATATTTGGAAGGCTCCGGGAAGAACAACCACTTTTTTTTTTGTTTATTATTATTATTATTATTATTATGACTATGGTCTGACTAAATAATTCTTCAGAAGACAAGTTATCGCACAATTGATTAATCAACTTTTGTAGGCGAATTGTTGAAAAAGAAAAGGTTTGTTAGAGAAAATCACAACCTCATGATTCGTTAATACTTTTGTATAAATTGCTATTGTTTCCACTATAACATCAAAGAAGCAAATTAATTAATCCATTAATTGTCTTGTCACTATTTCAAAACCTCTGGGTGGTTCTCTGGTTTTTGGAGTAACTAACAAGTAAGCGCATAATTTTGAATAAGAATTGATCAGAGAAATAATTTGCAGTACAACTCTAATATTCCAATATGTTCTATTGATTCATAGGCTGTACCATTCTTTCTATATTCTGCATGAAGCAGCAACTTCTTTTCATTCGGTAATTTATATATACAACACTTTTCCCTAACTTGTAGGAAAACCTAAATTAGAGATCAATATATATATATATATATATATATATATAACCTAATGATCAAGGGATTAACCTCAATGAAGCTTCTTCGATCACTCTGATTAATTTTACGTTTAAGATTTGGATTAAATATATTGTTGCCTGTAAGAGACTTTAAAGGAAGAAGAATGTTTCAACATGACTTGCAATTTAGAAATTTTCTGTAATATTAATTAATTTGACGTGGGGTGCACTCATTATCGACGAGGACCAAAAATATAACTCTAGC